ACAAGTGTTCCCGAGTGGTGAAGTTGCCTGAGGGTATACCACACCTTCCCTTCTACACCCTCTCCTCCTCAGGCTCTACACCCTCTACACGTCCCTTCTACACCCTCTCCTCCTCTACACCTTCCCTCTACACCTCCTCCTCTACATTTCTAAATGAATGGTCTGTATTTGAATGTATTGTCTATGTGTACATGTATGACCTATGCGTACATGTATGACCTATGTGTACATGTATGACCTATGCGTACATGTATGACCTATGCATACATGTAAGGTTTGTATGTAAAAGGATGGTCAGAGAAGGTGCCTAATATTCCTCGGATGGTTCGTTTATACTTAGCATAGTTAGGACACAAGATGACGGTGCAGAATGTAACTTAGTTTAATTGGGTCAGGTGCTGTAGTGGACATACTGTAGTCCAGGGAGAGTCGCGGTGTAAATTTCTTTCTTCGTGGTGTTTTATTAATGTTGATGTTGCTGTATTTGTTGTTATTGTGTTTGTTGTTGTGTTTGTTGTTGTTTTTGTTATTATTTTGTTGTATGTGTTGTTGTTTTGGAGTGAAGTAACCAATCCACTATGGTGTCATTCTTACATCTTAACGAACCAATCCGGGTGTTGAAGCTCTCTCTCTCTCTCTCTCTCTCTCTCTCTCTCTCTCTCTCTCTCTCTCTCTCTCTCTCTCTCTCTCTCTCTCTCTCTCTCTCTCTCTCTCTCTCTCTCTCTCTCTCTCTCTCTCTCTCTCTCTCTCTCTCAACAGGTATATAGATTTGATTCGTCTTCCAAAAGGTGATGGGGGGGGGAAAAGCTCCACCAAACTGACCCACTTAACCAAAGGTATAAAGTCAGTTTCCCTCCATATTGGCCCGAGACTATGTGGGGTAAACTAGCTATCTTCTCTTATCGCTAGTTAGGTGAAGAGGATTAGCATAGAAATGTGTTACGGTGGGCGGCTGCTGAGGTAGGTAGGTGTGTGTGTGTGTGTGTGTGTGTGTGTGTGTGTGTGTGTGTGTGTGAAGCCAAGGTCGTGTGGGAGTATAGCGTCTTGACATTCACTTAACACACACCTAAATTACAGAAAAAAAAAAAAAAAAAGATTGCTGTTATTTTATTTATATTGTTAATGTTTTACTTATTTATATTTTTATTTACTTCTTTGTTGTTTACTTATTTATTTATTTGTTTATTTATCATTGGCCCAGAATGTAAACCGTATCATACATTAAGTCACCAGAGGCAAACAACATACAAGACACCATTGTTGTTTTTTGTGTTATCACTGTGTTTGTTTAGGAGACTCTCACCCTTGTTGGTTATCACTGTGTTGTGTCTCTCTTTTATGGCTTAATTATGATGTAACGGTGGTGGGGGGGGGGGTCACTGTTGATAAGGTCAGGCAAGATTACAATGATGCTTCTCAGTTCCTTCTTCCTTGTCCATGTTTGAGGTCATATGAAGATTAGGCCCGCTAACCTAACCTAACCTAACCTAACCTTAACCTAACCTAACCTTAACCTAACCTAACCTAACCTAAAGTAGCATTAGGGTGGATATAATTATGAGGTGAAGTATACCCGGGTGCTTTAACTTCAGGTGATCTAATTTTCTAATTCTGTGGTATCGTAGCGTCACAGCACTGTCGAGAGGGAAAGATGGGTGGGTGGGCCTGGTGGGTGGGTAGGGTGGGCGGGGTGGGTAGATAGTATGTTAGGTCAGGGTAGTTTGGGACTTTAATGGCTCACTATTTCCGCCTTCTCTCTCCAGCTTGTTTGTCTTGTTGTCACCTCACAACACTACAGAAAGGGCAGGTAGGAGGGGGCGTGTGGGGAGGGGAGTGGGTGTGTGGAGAGGGGAGTGGGTGTGTGGAGAGGGTGTGTGGAGAGGGGGAGCGGGTGTGTGGAGAGGGGGTGTGTGGAGGAGTGGGTGTGTGGAGAGGGGGGGGGTGTGTGGAGAGAGGGGTGTGTGGAGAGGGGAGTGGGTGTGTGGAGAGGGGGGGTGTGTGGAGAGGGGTGTGTGTGGAGGGGGGGGTGTGTGGAGAGGGTGGGGTGTGGAGAGGGAGGGTGTGGGTGTGTGGAGAGGGGGTGTGTGGAGAGTGGAGAGGGTGTGGAGAGTGTGGAGGGGTGGGTGTGTGGGGGTGGGTGTGGGAGGGGTGTGTGGAGAGGTGTGTGGTGAGAGGGAGTGGGTGTGTGGAGAGGGTGTGTGGAGGAGGGGGGAGGGTGTGTGGAGAGGGGGTGGGTGTGTGGAGGGGAGTGGGTGTGTGGAGAGGGGAGTGGGTGTGTGGAGAGGGGAGTGGGTGTGTGGAGAGGGGAGTGGGTGTGTGGAGAGGGGAACGAACGTATGGGGGAGAGGAAGGGGCGTGTGGGAAGGAAGGAAGGAAGAACAGTAATAAAACAGACTAAATAATTATGTTGTCACCTTCTTGTGGGCGTGTGGGGGACCTGTACGTATGTTCGTGTGGGGGACCTGTAAGCATGTGCGTGTGGGGTGTTCGTATGTGCGTGTGGGGTGTTCGTATTTGCGTGTGTCTGGGGATGTGTGTGATAATGTATTTAGTTGAACAGTGATCTCCGCGTCATTA